GTGAAATACAGCATTGGAATCTTGATAGGAATTGTGTTTATAGATTGTTTTGGGTATTATGGACATTTTTATGAAATTAATCTTTTCTATAAATGAACATGGTATGTTCTTCAACTTATTTGTATCTTCTTCAGTTTCTTATAATTTTCTGAGTACAGGTCTTCTACATCCTTGGTTAGGTTTATTCCTAGGTTTTTTATATTTTTTTAAAGTAATTATGAATGAAATTGTTTTCTTAATTTCACTTTCTGTTAGTTCATTATTGGCATATAAATATGCAACTGATTTCTGGTTATTAATTTTGTATCCTACTACTTTTCTGAATTCATTTATCAATTCTAGTAATTTCTTGGTGGTATCTTTTGGGTTAGAGAACCTTAAATATACAGTATCATGTCATCTTCAAATAATTACAGTTTTATTTCTTTCTTTTCAATTTGGATGCCTTTCAGTTCTTCTTTTTGTCTGATTGTTGTGGCTAGGTTTCCAGTAATATATTGAATAAGAGAGGTGAAAGTGGACATTCCTTTCTTGTTCTGGTTCTTAAGGGGAATGTTGGTAGTATCTGCCCATTGAGTATGATACTGGCAGTGGGTTAGTCATATATGGCCTTTATTATGTTTAGGTATGTTTTATATATTCCCACTTTGTTGATAGTTCTGATCATAAATGGGTTCTAGAATTTGTCAAATGCTTTTTCTGCATCTATTGATGTGATCATGTGATTTTTATCTTTTATTTTGTTTATATGGGGAATCACATTTATTAATTTGTGAATGCTGTACCAAACTTGTATTGCCAGAATAAATCCCACTGGGTCATGGTGTATGATCTATTTGATGCATTTAAGTATTCAGTTTGCTAATATTTTGTTGAGAATTTTAGTGTTTATCTTCATCAGGCCAGTAATTTTGACTCTTTGTAGTGTCTTCATCTGGTTTTGAAATTAGGATAATGCTATTTGGAAGACTTCCCTCATTGGGAGTTTTATAAAATAGTTTGAGAAGTAGATGTGTTGTTCTCAGAATGATTGGTAAAACTTATGAATCTATTCCTGTCCTAGGCTTTTGTTTGTTGGGAGATTACAGTTACTGCTTCCATTTCAGTAGGTATAATCTGTGTATTCAGATTCTCTGATTCTTCCTAATTTAGAAGATTGTATGTTTCTAGGAATTTATCCATTTCATTCAGGTTGTCCAGTTTGTTGGCACATAGTTCATAATATTTTCCTAGAGTCTTTTGTGTTTCTTGAGTATAAATTGTTATTTCTCCTCTTTCATTTCTGATTCTATTTATTTGGGTTCTCTTTTTTTCTTGATGAGTCTAGTTAAATGTTTGTCAATCTCATTTATTTTTTTAAAGAACCAGCTCTGGATTCATTGATCTTCTGTATCTTTTTTAAGACTCTATTTCATTTATTTCTGCTCTGATCTTTATTACTTCATTCCTTCTACTCACTTTGGGCTTTGTTTTTTCTTCATTTTCAAGTTCCTTTAAGTGTGAAATTAGATTGTTTATCTGAGCTTTTTTGGGGGGGAGGATAGGCCTGTAATGCTACGAATTCCATTCTCAGGATGCTTTCCCAGTGTCCCACAAATTTGGTTATGTTGTGTCCTCATTTTCACTTGTTTCAAGATATCTTTTGATTTCTTCTCTGATCTCATTGTTGACCCATTCATTGTTTAATAACACATTACTTAGCTCCCATGTCTTTGTGTGTTTTTCAGTGTTCTCATAATTGATTTCTAGTTTCATAGCATTGTGGTCAGAGGAGATGCTTAATATGATTTAAATTTCCTTAAATTTATTGACACTTCCTTTGTGTCCTAACATGTGGTCTATCCTTGTGTACTTGAAAAGTATGTATATTCTGCTACTTAGGGGTGACATGCTCTGAAGATATCAATTAAATCCATTTGATCTTGCTGGTAGTTTATGGCCACTATCTCCTTGTTGATTTTCTGCATGGAAGATCTAGCCATTGAAGTTAATGAGGTGTTAAGATCCCCAACTATGACTGTATTTGTATTGATGTCTCCCTTTATATCCATCAGGATTTGCTTCACATATTTAGGTGCTCCTATGTTAGGTGCATAAATGTTTGCTAGGGTCATATCCTCTTGTTGGATTGTTCCCTTTATCGTTATTTTGTGTCCTTCTTTGTCTCTTACTATAGCCTTAATTTTGAAGTCTGTTTTGTCAGATATAAGCTATACCCCAGCTTTTTTTCCTTTCCATTTGCATGAAATGTCTTTTTCTTCCTCTTTACTTTTAGTCTATATGTGTCTTTTGATCTGACATGGGTCTCTTGGGGACAGCATATATATGAGTCTTGTTTTCTTATCCATTCAGCTGCCCTACATCTTTTGAATGGAGCATTTAAGCCACTTACATTTAAGGTTATTATTGATATATATGTATGCAGTGCCATTTTATCATTAGACTGTTTTCCTCTGTTTTTTTCTTTCTCTTTTTCTTCTTCTTAAAGCAAGCCCTTTAACATTTGTTGCAGTACTGGTTTGGCGTTATCAAACTCCTTAACTTTTTCTTGTCTGGGTAGCTCCTTATTTCTCTTCTGATTTTAAATCATAGCCTTGCTGAGTAAAGTAGCCTCGGTTGTATGTGCTTACTTTTCATCACCTTGAATATTTCACGCCACTCCCTTCAGGTCCAAAATGTTTCTGTTGAGTAATCAGATAGCCAGTCTAATTGGTGTTCCCTTGTAGTTAACCACCCGGTTTTCTCTTGCAGCTTTTAGGATTCTCTCCTTGTCTTTTAGCATTGTCATTTTAATTATGGAATGTCTAAATGTAGGCCTTTTTTTTGGTCCAATTTGTTTCAAAGCCTCTGAGATTCCTGGTCTTGTGTGTCTTTTTCCTTCAACAGAATAGGGAAGTCATTATTTCTTCACATAGTTTCTCAATCCCCTTGCTCATTCTCTTCTCCTTCTGGCATTCCCATGATGTGGATAGTGTTACATTTCATATTGTCCAAAATGTTTCTTAAGCTCTCCTCATTTTTTTAAAATTATTTTTTTCTGTTGCTCTGTTTGGGTGTTTTTTTCTACCTTGTCTTCCAAACCACTGACTTGATCATCTGCTTTACCTAACCCTCTATTTATTCCTTCCAGTGTATTATTTATTTTAGATATTGTTTTCTTTATTTCTGACTGGTCCCCCTTTTGCTTTCTGTGTCATTTTTTTCATGCCATTGAGTATATTTATGATCATTACTCTAAACTCTCTATCTGGTAAATTGCTGCCTCCATTTCATCTAGTTATCCCGGATAATTCTCTTGTTCTTTTATTTGAGGTCTGTTTCTTTGTCTTCCCATTTTGGCTACTTCTTTGTATTTTCTGCCTTAGTTGTTAAACTGAGAAGTTTGTTAATTTAATCAAGCTTAATCAGCAGCCCATTTTAAGTTCCACAGGGAGGACCAGAGTAATTCCTGTGGGTGGGACTATTTCTCCCCTCACACTGATGTCATTCGGAGGGGAGTGCTCTGCCTGAGAAAGGTGGGTTTTACATCATGGACAATGTCTTAGCATAGGGATCCTGGTGGCTGTTCCTGCAGTTCTCACCCCAGAACCACCAACCTCAGACCTTTCTCAAGCATCTCTAGTCCACTCTGCCCTCCCTCTGCCAGAGCTCAGGTTAAGTGGCTACAAATGAAATTGTATGTGTTGGTCCCTTAAGAGGCTTTCTGCATCTCCAATCACCTCACCCTGGCAGCCAGAAGCCCTGCTGCTTTTCACAGCTGGATGTTATCCTGTTTCATTTCCAGCTGTGGTGCTGTAGGCTGGGGAGCCCAGGTTGGGGTTTAGACCCCACACTTCTCAGGGGGAATCCCCCAGCTGCTGAAAGGTCCCTTTGGAACTTCAGCTGTCACCCATGGACGCCCAGCCAGCTCTCCTGTGCCTCCTCCACTGCCTACCAGCCTTGTTGTGGTGAAGTGATTTCTTCTGTCTGTCTTTGGTTATAAGTCTTCTCTCCAGCTAGTGTCTGTTGGTTATTCAAAATGATTTCTCTACAATTTAGTTGTAAGTCCAGATTGGTCCTCGGAGGAGGTTGCTCTAGCTTCCATTTACTCCTCCACCATCACCCTCCTAATTTTGTTGCACAACACTATTGTTGGTAGGTATTAACTCATTTTAAAGAAGCCACAAAAATTTGGAGAATTAAGTTGCAAAACTCCAAGGTTACCTGGTTAGTAGAGCAGCAAATTAAACTTGGGCATTCTGATCACAGGCCTATTACATTTGTGCTTCTTTCTCCATGATTCCATAAAAAGAGGGGGGAAATGGAGTACATACCTCTACACTATTTGAAATTAGAAGATAGAGTGGCACCCCATATTCAGTTGAAAGGCTTTTTTAAAATATAGGTTCTCAATCTTTTTAAAAAAGATTTTACTTATTTATCTTCAGAGGGGAAGGGAAGGAGAGAGGGAGAGAAATATCAATGTATGATTGCATCTCATGTGTCCCTTGCTGGGAACTGGCCTGCAACCCAGGAATGTGCCTTGACTGGGAATTGAACCATGATCTTTTGGTTCGCAGGCCCACGCTCAATCCACTGAGCTACACCAGCCAGGGCAGTTGAAAGGCTTATATTTTAAAAATATATGTATTTATATATATTACATGTTTGTATATGATATAAGCAGAGGTTGGCAGAAGTAAGTGTACAGTATGAATACATGAAACAGTTTATTCTTAGATCAGTATTTACTCATTATTTAATTAATTAGTATTATTTTTGTTAACCAACTTTTTGCTCACCCCTGTATGCATTACATAGTTGCAGACTATTATATACTCTTTTTATGTATTATATATACTATGTGTGTCTTAGATATCAAACTTTTCTATTTGGGAGTCTTTTGTTTAAGTTGTGACAGACATAGCCTAGAGGAATTCTTCAAATTGGTCACCTTGGAAATGATAGAAAGACAAAGGGAGATGTTGTTTGAACATGTGAATTCTTTACTTTGTTTACAGCTGCAAACCTTTTTTGAGACATTCCTGAGAGCCAGTTCACCTCTTCAGGCTTTTGATAATATGAAGGAAGCAATTAGCAAACTCCTGCTGGCAGCTGAAGTATTCGGGGAAACATCAACTCTAGGACCAAAGGCCTTCAATAGGTAAAATAAATAAATAAACAAATAAATAAAGCTTAAAAATCTACCTTCTAGAAATTGATTGCTAGTGAACATATATCTTAATTATCATAAGTAGGTTACTTCTTGGAAAATGTTATATCAGTATACAAATACAAACTTCTAAACTTATGTTTCCTTGTTTATAGATGCTAAAACATTAGAGCACATTATGGATTTGTTAGTATTTAAATAATGGTGACAGAAAGTGAAGCACAGTTCCTTAAATTGATTTTTAAAATTTCAGGCTCTTTCAAGCTCAGCTATTTTTATCATATATACTTACCATTGACTAGGCATATTTTTATTTACAGAATTTTATTAACAAAATTCAGTAACTCCTCTCTTCATATCTCAGTTAACTTGAGTGTAATTTAATGCCAGTTTTCTAGGAAAATGTTAAATCCCATGAACCAAACAAGGGTGGTGACTTAGTTAAGCTTTATCAGGCTTTATATGTGGATAAGAACAACCTTACTATGGGCCCTGGCTGGTGTAGCTCAGTGTATTGAGTGTAGGCTTGCAAACCAAAGGGTCACTGGTTCGATTCCCAGTCAGGGCAAAATGCCTGGGTTGTAGGCCAGGTCCCCAGCAGGGGGTGTGTGAGAGGAAACCACATATTAATGTTTCTCTCTCTCTCTTTCTCCTTCCCTTCCTGTCTCTCTAAAAGTAAATAAATAAAACCCATTAAAAAAAGAGAATGCCTGGCATGTAGGAGAAGGAGAGTTTCCTTCTCTATGTTTAGGTTTTCACAGCGACTTTATCATTTACTTTAATGTGTTATGAATACTTTAGATATATTTGTATTTTCAGTAAGAAACAAAACAGATTCCATATTCAAAATTAAATTAAATGTCATTGTAGACTATCCAAGCAACTGTAGTTTAAAAATTATCATAGACCTTGAAATTTAACAATAGTAGCTATCAATATGTGTAATATATATTATATAATTTCAAATATATAATAATATAATTCCAGTAATAGATTAAATTTAGTAAGCTGATTATAATTTTGTTACATGTGTTTTTATTTCAGATGCAGATTATGCTTTCAACTTTTAACTTTTGATGTTGGTTACGGCGGCGTCAGGTCCCCTGTAGTACTCCAGGTGAGTGTGCCGAAGGCCTCGTGTGAGCATCTACCTTTAGCTGGAGGATGTGTGTGTATATGAATGTGTGTGTGATTGCGTTCCTTTCATTCATAGTAATGAATCATAAATAGAAATTTCATTAAATTCACTACTTGTATTTATGGTGGTTTAGAGAACTAAGTAGTATGTGGAAAATCTGTGATTTGAGTTCCACTTCCTACTACGCATTTCTATAAAACAATCATGGATTTTCTATGGTTCAAACACTGTTTATGAAATACATATGGCATAAAACTAAGTATGCATTAATGCAGAAAAGCGGACATTTAGACAACAGACACTAGCAGATAACCTAGCTTATTCACCGAGTTTATAAAAAGGTAATTTGATATTCACTTCGAAGTTGACCTATATGTTATAAGGCCATAGGAATTTTTGAATGTATAATTTTTCTAGTATAAATATGTATAAGTTGAAGAGTGATTTTGTATACTTTGATCCTTTTACTTCCACTCAAATCAAATTAACTCATTCAGATAATTTCCTCCAAGATATTTTTAATCTAAAATAGCCATTAGTGAAAAATATTGATGGAATTAGTCTATAGAAAACTTTATTTTGGGATAAGGAGTGGGAAGACAGGAAGAGAGACAAAATTAAATTATGTGCAACCAGAATTCAATTGCATATAATGCTGACTTATTTTTAAACTTTTATATTAGGAGAATAATTACATTGTATGTGGCTCATTTGGTTTTATAGTCCATTTGGTTGAATAGTCCAAAGATTTATTCATAGAATTTTGAAACTTTATGAATTTATGTATGTTAATGGTCATTTATTATTTTACACACACCTAATAGTTTATGATATGTTCTTTTAAAATGTATTGTTTAGAAATGTTGTATATTATCTCCCATGAACACAAATTCATTAACAATGGTTTCAAGCTAAACTAATGTGACTTTATAATTCTTTAGTTATTTTTCTTATAAAAGATAGGATCTTCAAAAGAATATTACATTTTTATGAAACTGCTGACTTCCAAAAAGACCACTAGATGTCAGTTCTGATCTACAGTCCAACAGGAAATGAATCATGTCTTAAAAGTGATTCTGCTTTATTAAAAGCAAGTCAATGAAAAATATTTTCTGTGTTTTATTTTCTCACAGGTACATGAGCATTTAGAATTTCAAGATGATAATTATATAGGTTTGGAGGACCAAAATACAGAAGAATTTCTTTTAAAAGACACTTTTGATTTTCTTTTCTCTAATGAATCTTCACTTTCCACATTTTCTGGGATATTTAAGAGACTTTATAGATTAGGTGTATTTGAGGTAAGTACATATTTTTGTACTGACAAATATTTTTTCAAGTCATTTTTACAAGCAACTTGATAATTCATTATGCAATTATTGTGCAATGAGGCAACTTGATAATTCATTTGAAATTAATTTGTACTAGTTATAACTTTTTTTAATCTTAGAAATATTTGTCTTTTTTTAATTTTGTATTTTATTTTATTTTTTAAATTTAATTATTGTTCAAGTACAGTTTTCTGTCTTTTACGCCCATCCCAGCCCACCCCCGCCCCAGTGCTCCCCACCACCCTCTTATTTCCACCCCCCCTTAGTTGTTGTCCATGGGTCCTTTATACTGGTTCCTGTAAATCCTTCCCCTTTTCCCCCTGAAATTCCCTCCCCTCTCCCCTCTGGTCACTGTCCCACTGTCCTCTATTTCAGTGTCTTTGGTTATATTTTGCTTGCTTGTTTGTTTTGTTGTTTAGCTTCCTGTTAAAGGTGAGATCATATGTGTATTTGTCTTTCAACGCCTGGCTTATTTCACTCAGTATAATGTTTTCCAGTTCCATCCATGCTGTTGCAAAAGGGTAGGAGCTCCTTCTTTCTTTCTGCTACATAGAATTCCACTGTGTATACATACCATAATTTTTTAACCCATTCATTTACTGATGGGCACCAAGGTTGCTTCCAGCACTTGGCTATTGTAAATTGTGCTGCTATGAACATTGGGGCGCACAGGTTCTTTTGGATTGGTGTTTTAGGGTTCTTAAGATATAATCCTAGCAGTGGAATTCCTGGGTCAAAAGGCAGGTCCATTTTTAGTTTTCTGAGAAAATTCCATACTGTTTTCCACAGTGGTTGTACCAGTCTGAAATCCCACCAACAGTGGATTAGGGTCCCCTCTTCTCCACAACCTTTCCAACATTTGTTGTTTGTTGCTTTGTTTATGATGGCCATTGTGACTGGTGTAAAGTGGTATATATTTATGGTTTTAATTTGCATCTCAATATAGCTAGTGATATTGAGCATCTTTTCATGTGTCTCTGGATCTTCTGTATGTCTTCCTTGGAGAAATGTCTGTTCAAGTCCTTTGCCCACTTTTTAATTAGGTTGCTTGTCTTCTTAGAGTGGAGTCGTGTGAGTTCTTTGTATATTTTGGAGATTAAACCCTTGTCTGAGGTATCATTGGCAAATATGTTTTCCCATACAGTTGGTTCTCTTTTTATTTATTATAATATTGTTTTCTTTAGCTGTGCAAAACCTTTTAATTTTGATGAGATCCTAGTTGTTTATTTTTTCCTTTATGTCCCTTGATCTAGGGAACATATCAGTAAAAAAAGTTGCTGCATGAAATATCTGAGATTTTCTTGTCAATGTTCTCCTCTAGGACTTTAATAGTGTCATAGCTTATATTTAAGTCTTTCATCCACCTTGAATTTATTTTGGTGTATGGTGTAAGTTGGTGCTCAAGTTTCATTTTTTTGCATGTAGCTGTCCAGTTCTCACAACACCATTTGTTGAAGAGGCTATTATTAGTCCATTTTATGTTGATGCCCCCTTTGTCAAATATTAATTGGCCATAGAGATTTGGGTTTATTTCTGGGCTCTCTGTTCTGTTCCATTGGTCTATGTGCCTGTTTTTATGCCAGTACCAGACTGTTTTGATTACAGTGGCTTTTTAATACAGTTTGATATCAGGTATTATGATCCCTCCTACTTTGCTCTTCTTTCTAAAAATTGCAGCTGCTATTCAGGGTTGTTTATGGTTCCATATAAAGTTTTGAAGTGTTTGTTCTATGTCTGTGAAGTATGTCTTTGGTACTTTAATAGGTATTGCATTGAATCTGTAAATTGCTTTGGGTAGTATGGACATTTTGATGATGTTAATTCTCCCAACCCATGAACATGGTATATGTTTCCATTTGTTTGTGTCTTCCTTGATTTCTTTCTTCAGTGTTGTGTAGTTTTCTGCATACAGGTCTTTTACCTCCTTGGTTAGGTTTATTCCTAGGTATTTTATTTTTGCTACTTGCTATATCAAATGCAATTTTTTTCTTGACTTCAGTTCCTGCTGTTTCATTGTTAGTATACAAAAATGCCTTTGATTTCTGGATATTGACTTTGTATTCTGCTGTTTTGCCAAATTTATTTATTAGGTTGAGCAGTTTTGGGGTAGAGTCTATAGGATTTTCCATGTACACTATCATGTCATCTGCAACATTATTTTTGTGTTCACTAACTATGTGACTGATTGTGGTAAAATTGTGGGTTGAAATGAAGGAAAGCAGTTCCTAATTTCTACAAAACTTTTGTGGACATCATGAATAATATGTATTGTATGGATACTTTAAAAGGAATACTGTAACTTTTTGGAGGCAGTCTAGAATGCCAGTGAGTGTTCTAGATTGACATCAAGAGGCTTGGCTTAACACTAATTTTTCTAATCATTGACACCTGGTTAACATCTTTGATTAGATAATTATTAGGGTATAGAGCCCCAGAGTAGCATTGATTAGTTTTTATGGTATGTTAACATAAGTTTTTTGGTGCCTCAAAGTGTCTGTACAGATTACTAAGTGCAGTGTTGTTCTCTATATTTTGCTACTCCATTCTCCAGTACCCAAAGGCTAGGGAGATGCTTTCTGCATTCCCAAACTGTCACACACATTCCATCTTTCTGGGCTCACCTGCCTGGCCTTCCTAGCAAAGCACTACTGAGCAGTTTCATTCAGGTTCTTTCTGTGAACTGGAAAGTTCTCATATTCAGACATCATTGTTACAAGTTGCAGTTACTGTGTTTTATTTAGCATTAATTAGCTCACTTGCTTATTTATAGAGCTCAACATTTTATTGGATTATGAAGTGGGAGGCAACTGGGCTGTAGCAATTGTTTAAGAGTTGTTTTTATATTTCCTCTCCTATTATAGGGTGAAAACTATGAAAAGGAACTAAATCAATGCCTACCTTTAGAGGATATTACCTCAATTATGACTTTCCTAAAGGAACTTAGGAATTTGGGACAATTCCAACTGGTAAAACAAAAGTGACATTTGATTCCTCTTGATTACTGATATAGTATAGTAGATCAGTCATAACTTACTTGATTTGACTTTAATTTAGGCGAAGCTATTTCTTTAAGAAACAGAAATTTTTGTAAGCTCCTTTCCTGTTTTCAGATTATCTAAATATTAAGATGAGCAGAATCCATATTCTTTAAGAGTTTGCAAATAATGTGACTTATGAAAAGAAAACAATATGAGGTTAGTATAGCTGCCAGGATTTGACATTTTTTTTCTTTTTAATCTTCACCTGAGGATATATTCATTAATTTTAGAGAGAAAGGGAGAGAGAGAAATGTCAATGTGAGAGAAAAACATTGATCGGTTACCCCCTCTAGGCTCCTGGACCTTGAGGATCCAGCCCGAAACCTGAGTATCTGCCCTGACTAGGGATCGAACCTGCAACCTTCAGGTGTAGGGGATTACACTCCAACAACTGAGCCACCCAATCATGGCGGATTTGACAGTTTTTAAAAGGAAAATATCCAAATTATTCTAAACAAGTTTTGCTCTTAGTTTCGGAATATTTACAAATTGTGACCAAAATTTCTCCCTGCTTATTATGCCCTTTTTGTTAAGTAGAGTCAAATACTATTGAGTGGAACAACAATATTTTTAAAAAATTATTTACATCTTAATTTGTTGTAACTCACAGCAAACTAAGAAAATGTGAATGTGAAGAAAGAAAATATAAATAATTACAATAACTTTTATCGGTGTCAGCCTAAAATGTGGCATTATTTTCTTTTCCATGTATTTTCTTTGGTACTGTTAGTTTATTGATTAATAGCAAAGGATAATTTATACACATGCATGCTGTGTTTCTAGTTTCGCCACTTTTACAGATAGACTATAATGAATTTGTATTTTTCACTTCAGATTTGTTTATACAAAACATTTTAATGTAGCCCTTAAAAATCCACTGTTAATTTATTATTAATGTGTTTCGATCAAATATTTGTTTCTTACTATTAAAAATTATGTATGATGTGCTACTTGTATGAGTTATAACCAATTTACTAAGTTAATTAAGAAACATTTGACACTTGTTTTTATAATTTAGTGCCATATGTTGGAGGGTTCAAAGTAAGCTTATTGCCCCAAAGATAATTAAATGAATGGATTATCATTTTGTTATTTGAAATATAGTATTACATTCATGACAGTTTGGCTCCATATATACAAGGATAGTCACAGAGACCTGGCCTCGTTCTTCAGGAATTCATCATTTCAGATACTGTGAATGTCGGGAACATCTCTTGGCACAATGTGAGGAAGCACTGAAGAGTTATTCTGCAGGGGAGAGGGCACACCTCAGTTTACTGACTGAGAGTTGAAAGGAGAACCTATAGATATTTTTTGGCAGGATTAATATCTCTCACTTGGGTATAACTCACTTGCGACACAAGAGGGCTCCTCCTCATTCTTCCTGCTGCCTGACTCCCTCTGTTATTCAGCTGTTTTCAGGTATCTAAAGGAACATATACATTTACATTAAGTGAAAAGAGAATAAAAACTCTCCCCATTTGGAAATATGATCATGAAAAAATTAGTACTTTAGTAAAAGTAGCATCTACCTTCATGACTGCAGAGAAAAGTTCTGGTACTGAAAATGGATTTTTAATACATATTTTATTTTTAAAATATCGAAATAAATATGACTATAAATTAGTTTCTTAGTACTACTACATTTTAATTTATTATCTACCATTTATTCTGATATTCTGTCTTTAAATATTTCTTCTCAGCTTGTACCATCAACTTCTCCTGGGATTCGATCTTTGATACATGAATTTTATGATATGGCAAATCCCATGAGAAAACCTGGTTCAGTCTGGATTCAATACTCGTCTCTTTTAAATGTGTTTGATCAGTTTCAGCTCCTGAATAAAAAGGCACAGCTACATGCATTGGAATGGTAAGATAGCCACAAATTTGGATTGTGCAGTCCAAAAAAGTCTCTAGTCTAAAGATTGATTTCAAAAAGCTTTCCCTTTTGAACATCACAGAAAGCAACAAAAACAAGTGTGCCCAAAAATTCATGCTCTGGAAAATACGCTTCTTTAAATCACTAAAACCATAATGATTCTAGTGGTCTTCAAACACTGTAACAAAAATATATCCAACAGTTTTTCAAATCAACCAGACTTGACCCACTCAAAAGTAATGTTTAAAGTTAAAAGTTTCAAACTAATTTCATTTAATAATACATATCCTTGAATTATGGGAACATGAGACAAAGAATTAGGTGAGATTCATTTTGTAAACCATTAGTGTAAGCATTTATTTAGAGGTTTCTTTTGAGGCATGACTTTACTTTGGGTGAATTTATGCAAATTTATAGAAATGTCTGTCCCTGCCACAATATTAGAAAAAAATTTAGAAGGTAGAACCTCAGAGGGAAGCATGGGGCTGGGAGAATAGTTTCTGGGCCTCCATCTCCATTTCCATCCTAATGACGGAATCAGAGGGCAGGTGGGCCAGGTGAACGTGATAATACCTCCTGCAGCTGGTGAAATGGGCAGTGCCCGCGGCCTTAGCTGAGCCTACTTCTCTTTTATGTAATAGAATTAAGAGAATATTTGACTTTTCTATGGCCAGGAAAACAGAAGGAAACCTAACCCTCCTAGGGAGGTGAAAGACAAAGGCCATGATAAACTAATGTCTCTGGCAGTCACCCTCAGGAATGACTTCCGCGGATTTGGACTTCATTTCCTTCTGCCTCAGGAGCTAGTGAAAGCAATTCTATAAGAATTTTTTTCCTGTAATTCAAAAATACCAATAATTATATGTTTGATGAATTCTTAAGGCATCTCTCAGGATAACAAATCACTTCAATTGTAACAACTTTATGAAATTGGCCTATTCCTTCCAATACTTGGAAGTAAGTAGTAGGTCTGAGAGAAGGGTTTTTTTGTTTGAAAATCAAGTTTTAAACAGTATAGTTCAATGCCACTTTGTTCCTTACACTCACTGAAATAATCCAAAACTCTTATTTGCCATAATTGACTACGGAAGAGCAGCCTTGATTTACCAGGGAGACTATTTAAGTACTGTTTCTTTGATTTTTTAACTTTAAGTTCCCTTGAGATATGCAAGCTTTGGAAAGGTTGTTTCCCCCAAAAGTGGGTTTTTTCCAAGCTCCACATATGTTGTAAAGTTAACCAATTAAGTTGCCTTAAATTCAGAATATTGAATTTACCCCTAAGCCTAACCCTAACCGATTACCTTACAATAAGGGAATTTATTGATAGTCAGTGTTGAATGTAGTTAGAAAAAGTCAGGACATTTTGAATCAGACGGACTGCTATTCAAAAATCCCAATTTTGGAGTTTACTAATTATAGCAGGTAAAGTTCTGACTCGGCTGAGACTCAGTTTCCACATGTGTAAAATATGGATTGTACTACCTACCACATATTACTCCAGAAGGATTACCTAAGATAACCTGCAGGTGCCGCGTGGTAGGTGGGGTGCTGCAGTGCAGGTAGGTAGAAAACATTAGCATGCTTTCTTTTTCATGTTGCTACATCATCCTAAGTTCACTTTAACTTCAACAGTGAGGAAATATTTTCATTTATTATAGGAAGACCAAGATACAATTGACAGATTTATCTAAGTTAACACTGAAAGAAGTAAGCTTTAGATCTTTATCAGGAAGCAATTAGTAAATTGCTTTTAGAACATTTTAAGAAAGAATACTCATTTCTAATTATATTCAAATTTACCTGTGAGTATAAATTATTATCTGTGCTGTATTACAAGAAGGAAGCATACCATACAGATTTTCTAGATGAGGAAACTCAGGTCCTGAGAAGGTGAATCATTTACCTGAGCCACACAGCTAATGTATAGAAACAAAGGTGACCTTCACATCCATAGTCCAGTGCAGTGCTTTATTCCAGTACGTCAGGCAGCCAGGACAGGGAGGTCAGGTGTAGTCATTCATCAATGCTCTTATTTCACAATGGTCAACTTCAGGGTTTGTTTTTTTTTTCCTACAAAAAAAGCCAATTTTACATACCTATATTACCTATGGGGTTTCATGACTCCCTATTTTCTTTTAAATACAAATCACCTGCTTATAACAACAAGGTGAAAAGAGATAGTTAGAAAAGCAACAGTTAGAAAAGGTGACAGTAATGTGTGTGTTCCAAGCACAGAGCGCAAAGGTCTGAACAGAATTAGTATAGGAGTAAATCTGAACAGGAGTTGCGCTCTGCTAATTTTGACTTTGCTGGAAATAAAGTTGCAAGTGCACTTTATTCATGTGCTTTCCATGAAACCTCATATTTTCAAAACATAATTTAGTCACAAAAGTAAATAAGAAACCACTGTAGGTTGCCTTAATATACTAAAGCATGACATTCCATTAAGACAGTAACATTTCTAAACTTCAGTTTACATGCATTTCAGGGTTGTATCTTTGATGAGCTTCAGCTGGAGTTTTTGCTTCATATGAATTCAGAGATTTTCAATTAAATGTATTTCACTCCAGGCTTGCTTTATCTGTTTTTTAATTCCTTTGTGGGAGGGCAGTACAGTTGACCTTTGAACAACACTGGTTTGAACTGTGCAGGTCCACTTATAGTGAATATTTTTCAATAAATATATTCTGCTTTTAGTATCTTTGGGTTTTGCATCTTTAGATTCAACTAACTACAGATTGAAAACAGTATTTCACATTCCCAAGCACAGATTCCCAACTGCAGATCGAAAATGTTATTTTTGATTGTGGTTGGTTGAATCCTTGGTTGCAAAAGGCCAAATGTAGTTAAGTTTTGGGTGAGTCAAAAATTATATGTAGATTTTTTTACTGTACTGGGACTTGTACCCCTAACCCCCATGGGTCAACTGTATTTTAAGGTAAGTCCTAAACATCATGATTTTTTATCCTTAATTACTTTGTTTTCTATCTATCTATCATCTATCTATCTATCTATCTATCTATCTATCATCTATCTATCTATCTATCTATCTAATGTATATATGTATACATACATAGACAAAAATAAAACTACAATAAAATTATCACACATTAGTAATATTTTTAATTTCTTGATTCTTCTTAATTTTATGATGTTTATATGTTGAAGGAATTGAATGTGGCTTATCCACCTCTTCTCTACCACAGTGCCCAACACGTATCTGGGATGATAAATATTTATAAAATGTAATTCAGCACAGAACATTTGACTTAATTCTAATTGCATCTCTGTGAAGTTAGGCCAGTACTATTATCTCTATTTTGTTGGAGTAGAAACAGAGATTCACAACAAAGCACAGGAAAATCAAGTCATATCCCACCCACTTTATTATCAGGACCAGTAATAATTTAGATTATTTTGTTCCCCAAAATTGAGAATTTAAGGAGCAATCTGGCCAAGCATTTACTTATACAACACAAAAATGAGGCAAACACATCCAGATATAACTAACCCTTACCACTCTCTACTGTTGATCAGAGTTTAAGGTTGGAAGCCTGGGCAAACCTTTCTGTGTGGTGCACTTGCACTTCGTAGATTATATGCACGTTTTTCTCAGTCTGTGCCTCAGAGTTTCCAAGGCTTCTTGTTTCAGGGCTGTTACTTCAGCCAAACGGATTCCAATAAGGATGTGTGTTCCCTAATCAGTCCTGTTGGGCCCCGGCTATCAGAGATTGCTTACTTTTGGACTGCAGACTGACTTTTTGCCCTGGTTTTCTTCAAATGTGCTTCTGCTGATTAGAGATGATGAGATTTCCACCAACCTCACTTTAGGCAAGATTGCCAGTTTTGAGGAATGAAATCCAGAAAGTGTTTCTTTGTGTTCAGCAAAATAATTGGGCCCACACAGAAAAAAAGGTTTGTTAGGTATAATTTCCATGAATTTTGTTCATTTCATTGATCAAGTTCTTGGCATTGTATTTGTAGGAATTCCTTTGCAGAAGATGAGAAGTTTGAAAAACCACAAGTGCCATTTGATACAACTGAACATAAAAAAGGTAAATGAATAATACCGCTTAATTCAGTATGAAAATTAGTATTGCATGGACAGAAAAACATATAAAATTGTTTAGCTTCATTAGCAATCAAAGTGAAAATTAAGCAAGGAAGTGCTGCTTCCCTCATATTTGGAGATGATTTTCTTCTTAAAAATAATAGCGTGGGGGATAAGATAGAATTTGAACCTTTCATAAAAGGTCATTTAACAACATACAAGAAAAGCTTTAAAGTTATTTTTGTAGACCAGGAATATAACTTCTGGATACTAATTTTAAGAAAATAATTTAAATTGTAAACAAAATTTTATTACAAAAATGATTAATAAATGAAAAATAGAAGCCATCTCTATTGCAATAGTAGTGGGAAGATAAATAAAATAAGCTACAGTTACCCAAAAAAACACTATAAAGACATTCTAATATTGTGAAATGATACTGATGACATGACAGATGTTTTTGGTACCATTAAGTGGAACAATTGGCTACAAACAAGATGAGCCTCAAGGAAAATTAATGGTAATTTTGGTTTCACCTCTTGTATTTTACCTATAATTTCTAATTATTCTTCCTTTGATTTTGTTGTATTTTCCATTTTTTTCTAAAGAATACCTGAACTTTCATTGCAAGGAAATAAAGTATTTGTAATTTTAAAAAAATGTACAATTTTTAAAAAGTCAAAGTTTAATCCCATTGTTGTGAGTGTGTGGTCCCCAGACAAGCAGCATCAATATCACCTGGGAAATGGAAAATTCAGATCTACTGAGTCAGAATCTCTGGGTGTGAGGCCCCAGATTCTGTACTTTAACAAGTCCTTCAGATGATTCTGAGCACACTAGTGTTTGGGAATCGCTGCTTCAGTGGAATGAATCAGCAGGCCCAGTGGAGAACTGATGATGAACTGATAGTCTGTCTTACTCTCTCCCACCATTTTTTTGCCCTTTGGGTTAAACAAATGGGTTAAGCATTTGGTGTTGTTATTCACTCATTTGTATCATAGATATTTATTAAGAGGTATTTTAGATAGATGTGTGGTTGAATTCAGAAACTTAAGTGTAGGTATCAGTTGAGCTGGCTGGATAAAATTTGTCTAATTCTAATAATTTGGGAAATTATAGCCCCAGGATTATAGAACTAGAAGGAATTGTGAGAGAGCACATTGAGTCAGAGAATGACATTAAGACTATATTTCTCCCTTACTATTTTCTTATTTGAAATAATCATTCTTTTTGAGGTATGAACCAGATAACAACTTTTGTTTAACCTGGATTTCAGTTAAATTTAGAATTACTTTCTGATGTAATAAAGTTAAATAATAAAATGCTTCATTAAATTATTCTGTGTTTGAAATTGCTGAATATGTATTCTTTTACATTTGATTAACAGTTTCCAATTTAATTTTTTTTTAGTTGTATTTCCACAAATTGTGAATGCAACCAAAGAAGTGCATTGCAGGAATGGTGAGTTCTCATGGAAGCAGATCAGTGGCATTATTTACAGGCATGGCCCTGCCTTGAATAAACCATCATTTTATTTTATTTCTGTATCTTTAGGCTATTAATTTATTTTAAGTAAATATATGGAAGTTATGAGGTTTCTGAATGAGTCAATACCTATCACTTTTGCATAAGAACATGTTTTAATTTTATATTTTTGAACTTGAAATGTTATGCTATATATTTATTTGTCTGAAGTCACTGACTTCCCTCCCAGCTTATGTGGAGGGGTCCAGTGGGTACTAAGGCTTTATGTTGGAGAAGGCTCAAGGGGAAAAGCTTACCTCCCCTGCTTTATACCTGGATTTTAGGACTCTCCATCCCACAGTGATTCCTTTCCTGCCAGGTTGTTGATAATAGGACTTGAGTCAAAATTTCTTTATAACAATTGAGAGCTTTTAAGCTAATTTTAATATTTTCATTAAAATTTGTGAATTTTAATCCGAGTATAACCAATAAATATATATGCATATTATATTTCAAGCATTATATATGGATTTTAAAATTTAAAAATAAATTTCTTCACTGTCTGCTCAGCATTATTCCAGTGGTCTTTCAAATAAATCACTCTAGAGAATCTAACTGACTTTTCCAAGATTACAGAGTTATTAAAAGCCAGAGCTGGGTACAAATTCTTTGTCCAAAGTTCATGAATTACTTTAATATCCTATAATAACATGATGGAAAAAAATTAGAGTTCTATTTAGTAGTTTTTGTAATCTTTTATAACATATAACATATATATGGTACTATATATATATATATACACACTATGCTAAAACATATACTTAGAAAATTTAGCCTTTCACAAATAAAATCTTTTCTTATAAAACATTGAAGCTGAAAATAATTGTGGATTAAGGTCTAATTTATTATAAATCTTCTAATTTAATAAAAGCTAATTTGTATCTACTAAAATATAATTTAATTCATTCATTATGTTTAACAGTATTATTAAAATTAGAGTACACTGAAAGGTTATATAATAATGTGGCTTAATAAAATCTACAAATACATGCAATTAAAGAAAAAAGCATTTTAAATAAGGTATTGCTAATCAAGAAAAGATAACAGATATTACTCATGCTGTTCTTTCCCTGCTCTTACCATTCGATATCTTACTTCTAGAGAAATACATGCTACTCAGTTCAGTTCTCTTAGGAGACTGCTGCCTAGTGTGTAATGGGAAAGTAAGAGCAAGATTAGAGTGAACATTTGTCAAGAGTCTGCTGTGTGTTAGGCTTTGGGTTGATGCAGCATCAGGAAAGCCAGTTCACCTCTTTGGTCTTCTACATTCTCATTTATAAAATGAAGTTACTATATGAGGTCATCTCATTTTTCTTCAGTTTCTAGGTAACATGGTATAGATAATGTGAATATGTTAGATAAGTTCTTCAACACTGTTCATTTTTTATGTTTAAAAAATGGACTTGACCTGTGTCTTCACAATTAATCTTCCTACTTTTGTAGTAAAAGACTTTAAAGATAACTGAATAATGCCTTAGAACAGGTGGGATTATATTTCAGAGTTTAGGCTGTTCTCATGTATAATATGAGTTATGATGATCCCTCAAGAAGACAATAAAATTTTGTGGTTAAAAGAAATACATTAATAGCAACCAAAGCTTCAAACAGCTTTCCCACACATACCTGCCAAGTAGGTTAAGCAGCCCGCTATCATCATACCCCACACTGGGTTCTCCATAGATCTAAGGTAAGCTGGCTGGGTACAAGTTGGGACAGGGATGGGAAAGATGCCAAGGGAACACCAGGTGTTTGTAGGCAGTGACACTGATGATTTAGTTGAATGTGATGTCAGGGGTACCTGAGCTCTCTAGCAGGAGTCTAGGATGCAGCACTTAAGCCAGAGGAAAAGTTTCTCATGAAACCCAAAACAAGCACTTGCTAAAAATCTTGCATAAAAGTAGGATCACATATTTTATGTCATGTAGGGCTAAGTTTCAACATTGCAATGGGGGAGCCCTACTGGAAACTTTCACTGTTAAGTGTAAATGTAAACTATAAGGAAACCAACTCTCCATGGCTATTTCATAAAATATATACATATACATATATTAAATTGAAGTACATCTTTTATGATTACTATTTTGAGAAAAAAAACACCTTCCATTTTGTTATTTATTTAACTGGTTTAGAGCGTAAGTGTAGTGCAAGCACTTAAATTCCTTTTTGCCTAGGAAATAGTCCTCTGCAGAGCACTTTCATGTCACCACACATCAGCTTGTTCAGCATGTTAGACTGGGCTCACAGTCTCCAATCAGCTCTCATGACCAACAACAGCCTGCTTTTCCTGTGCTTCACTCAGTGCCTTGAACGCAGACTATGCTGGAAAAAAAATCTTTGATAAAAAATGCATTATTAACAAGTGGTTGAATTAGACTACAAAGTTATGGTCCTTTTCAAGATGAAAACTAGTAATATGATATTGTCCTCATTCTTTTATTTTTTTAATTTATTATAAAAGATTTAGGAGGTGGTATGATCATCAAAATTATACTTGTAGTCCACCTATATCCATCAGCCAGATAAAAATTTTTTATAACAAGTAAAATTAATCAGGCAAGTAGTTCACTCAATTCACTGACTTATTCTAGTAAATTGACCACTTGTTTATTTTTTTCATTACAAGTTTTTCCTACAATGAAATTTCAACATATCTGTTGTATTGTTCCTAATTTATACTTGAGTAATTATTTCTTCCACTCACTGAGAAAACCATAAAGGTAGGTCAAAAATTTACAGATTTTTCATTTTCATCATTTTAGTGAATGATGGGAGTTATCCTGTGACCTAGTTCTCAGAACTAGAATAAAGTTAGTGGAACTCATTACTGTGGATTTGGTTATGCATCTCCATATCTGTCAGAGAAATTAGAACTTTTGGTATTGCTGAAGCACAGAGTCTAAGATGTGATAGGAGATGCAACAAATGCAGAGGAAGACAAGGAAGAGATTGTGAAGTGTTTTGCCTGCTTTGCTAAAAGGTTTGGATTGAATTCTGGAAGTGATGAGAAACCATTAAAACATTGAAGACAAATCTGATGATTTTCTCTTAGGAAATTCATCGTGATTGTCATATGAAAATAGAGGAAGAGGCCTGGACAGGTGGCTCAGTGGAGCGTTGTTTTGTACACCAAAACTTGTGGGTTCGGTCCCTGGTCAAGGTGCATAGGAGAGGCAACTGATGGATGTTTCTCTCTCTTTCTTTCCCTTCTTTTCTAAAATCAATAAGTATATCCTTGAGTTAGGCTTAAAAAATAGAGGAAGAGGCAACAGTTAGTAAGATAATCTATTTTTTAAGTTCAGTTGTGTAACTTCCCACAGTGAATTCTGTTATTGCTTTTGTTGCTAAGTTGTTTGACATCACTGAACATTTAATTTCAAGGCAGTGCAAAGATACTTTTATTCCACCAATTTCTGTGGAATTAGCTATGTTTTTCTTTACTAGAACTTTATTGTCTATTAAAAAGTATTTTGGGACTAAATACTTGTTAATATTTCTTTGAAAAACATTTGCGAAGTTTCTTTTGAGTAATTTGGTTATTTCAAATATGAACACAATATAATTTAGCAGTGGCTGGTATATGAGACTGTATAGCTATTTTTCTTTTTTCTTACCAAGATACTTTTGTAAAAATTGGTCTACCAATTGTTTTAAGAAACAATCTTAAAAATGGCTTAGAAGCAATGGTGTGATGTAATATGCTAACTTTTCTAATGGAATTGAGAAGAATATAGCATTTCCTTCTTATGCTTCAGTGCACTCTCTTAGGCTGAGGAGGCTGGGGTAGGGAGGGGGTGTCGGGTACCCTGAGATGTCTTTCTTTCTCAGTGCTTGGTATAAGATTAGAGTTCACATTCTTTGCTCCACCCTGCTGCCTGCAAACAACTTTATCAATCCAACGGCAGTTTAATGACACTCCCCATTCAGAAATTTTCCTCATTTCCTGCTGGTACCCTTCTGTCACCACCCAACAGAGTCATCGTCCCCATTTACACAGTTACTTGATATATGCAGTAAATGCCATGAAAATGTTATCAATCAATTGGGGAGACATTTTCCCACCCCTTGTGCCTTTACACTTTTAATGGCTGGACAAAGAATGTAATCGACATAACACCAAGTAAAGGCATAGCTGTTATATAAAGGAAATGCTACCATATTTGATAAACACAAGTTCCAAATCAACTCTTACCAGTTGTCTTTTTTTTGTCATTAAAAAAAAAAACAGATGAAGACAAACAATGTCATATCAAGCAGATCTTCACACTTCCACATTTGGAACTAAGTCCTGAATTTAACCCGAAGATCAAAGATTATTACTCTGAAGTCCCATTCGATGTGGTAACAGTGACCATTGGAGTGAAGACTTCTAACTGTCAGTGCAAGGTGTACCTGCATGAGCGGGCAGGGCCAAGGTATGGAGTTCTGCTGGGCCAGGCAACAACATCGCATTTGAGAACAGACAACTGAGGCAACCTTTGAACGTGGTTCAGAAAAGCTGGGGCACAAGATCAGCTGGAAAGAGTGCCAGGGTGTGAAGTCTTCCCACTTCTCAGGTGTCGTGTGGTTAAAAATTACACACCAGTGTTCTACTGATCTATTGCAATCTTTGAATGGAGTTTTGGTAACCATGTTTTAACAAGAGTGGATCTTGTGATTATGAAATATTAAAGAGAACTTGTTAAGGGAGAAGTTCATTTTTTACACTGCTGACGGGTTAATCTTTACTAACAGTAGCCTCCTTCTACTCAACCCAACTCCTCAAGTTCTTGAATATTCAGAAGTTGATTACTTAATAAACATGGTGATGACAAGTTGTGGACACAGTCACATTAACTTTCCTAGTCTCACTGGGGTTTTGTTCTTCCCACCTTTGGAGATTCACCAACTATTTTGTTTGTAATATTGAACAGAAGATAAAACATATTTATATCCATATCTATAGGAAGGAAGATACTCCTGTTCCCGTGCTGTAGGGTAAGAAATGTCCTTGCATCTTCAGGAGCCAAAAAAAAAATGTAGAAGAAAGAAAAGATGAGTCAAGTCAGACACATCTGGGTCCCAAACCTGAGTTTGTTATATGACTGGGACGGTTTGTTTCTCAGTTGTATCTCATGGTGTTTATATGTAAAATTTGGACAATCATAATTATGTATGGAGGTGTTGTGACTATTAAATGAGATAATGCATGACCCTGACAGGTGACTAATAAACATTGGTTCCCTTCTCTGTAGTTTATGGGAGATGTGACCTGCTCTGCAGGATAACTCTTAGCTTACCAAAGTATGTGAAACAGTAGTTTAAATATTTATTTGACATTTTAGGTTTCCTATGAAATTGTACAGACCTTATATAAATTGTAGGCATTTGACATTGATGTGTGAATTCATTTGGGCTGAATAGTTGTTTCTCTCTCCAGCTTTGTCAACTACCCTCTGGGCTTAGGAGCAAACAAAATCTCAATGCTTGTGGTGGATGAGTCTCCAGACCAGGCTGAGACCCCGATGACATACAAACTCACCATCTATCGAGAAGACCGTCCAAGTCTGCCCTTCTTTGAAGACTTCACAGCATGCGGTTTTGTGCAGGTAAGTGAATTTTATATTTGCACTTGGATTGAATTGGAAGTGATATTAACCAGGTAAAAAATGCCAAGTGAAAATTGTTAGGAAAAAAGTATGCCTTTAAATCCAAACTGTGGTCTCATTTTAAAAACCAAGAGTCTCAGCCAGGTATCTAAGATACCCTCTTATAAATGGTTTTCTTTTTAGTGGGATGGCTCCTCCCTGCACTTACTGTGTTCACTGGATTTATTGTGGTTGGTGTTGAAAAAAAATGTCTGAGTACTCACAGTTGGTTATGAAGTTGGTTTTATATTTCCCTTTTAAATTGTGCTGTGTTTCTTGGATTGCTCCCTGGATCTACTTTTGAAATTTTAAACTAGTTTTGGTAGAATTTATTTTAAAGAATGAAAGGAACATTGATGCAATTATTTTAGAGAAGAGATACCCAATAAGTGAAATTAAATTTACTTGGGTAGATATATTTCTAATTCATTTCTAATACTTGATCTTTCCTAAAGGCTATGTTTTCCCTTGTGAGCAACATATATTTTGTTGCCCTGTTGGTTTTAGAGAAGGGTGAACATTACCCCAGAGACTTCATCTTGTTTGAGGTTCTCTCCTCAGGTTTTTTTTTCCCCATTTTTAGGATTCCATACATAAACTTCTACATTTCCCCACCGCATATACCTTCACTATAGGTGATTCCAGGGAAGTAGTAATTGGTACTATTATCAAATGTACTAACCCACTCTATGGGTTTGGACAAATGTATAATGACATGCATCCATCGTTATAAAATCATTCGGTATGTTTTTACTGCCCTAAAACTCCTTTGTGTGCTGTGTATTCTTCCCTGCCACTCCCACCAACCCCTGGCAACCACTGATCTTTTTTATTATCTCTATAGCTTTACTTTTCCAGAATGTCATATAATTGGAATCAAACAGTATGTAGCCTTCTTAGATAGTTTCTTTTCATTTAGTAATATGCATTTAAGGTTTATTCATGTCTTTAATGGCTTAGTAGCTCATTTCTTTCAAGCACAAGAAATCTTAATGTTAACTGTCTTTGTACTACTAGCTCAAAGCTATGAACAAAAGAGATAAACAAATTTAACATAATATTATTGAAGTGTTTTGTGGGTATTGATACATACAAAATGGATGAATCTCCAAAGCACTATTTGAGAAAAAAGAAGCCTGACGTAAAAAGACATACTGTGTTACATTTATATGAAGTTTAAGAATAAGCAAAACTGTAACTTGTGGTGATAGGAATCAAATTAGTGGTTACTTAGAAGGTGTGGGTACCTCTAAGAATGACCAAACTTGCTGGGCAAATGTCCTGTGTCTTAACCTGGGTGGTGGTTACATATATACCCAGTTGGTAGATAGATGTATAAAATGTCATTAATTAACTATGCTTTGAAGATTTATGTAATTTACTGCTATATAAAACACATAAAATATATGTGTTTGGCTATTATAAATTATCTATGGGGATATAAATTATAGCTCAATAACATAAGAAAAAAAACATTAGTGGGGAAGTATATATTATTTTCTAAGACATGCCTCTCTTCTCAAATATTATATTGATTAGAAACTAGTTAAATACCATACAATTATGTTAGACAATAGATTACATTAGGCATTTATTACTATTATATAAAGAAAAATATTAGAAATTTTTTTGTGGGATGTATCCTACAAATGATTGATGGAAAGTATTTCAGTCATTTGTAAGAATCATGTCCAGGTCTTAATTTAGTTTCTGTGTGGTCCCATAGCACTACTATATTTTACAATATGGAAAAGATCTAATGAGCACTAGTATTTTTTAGTTTTCCTTTTAGAAACTGTCACATGAGTGAACAGATAATGAATACATAATGGAGACCTTACGTAATACGTAATACATAATATAGCAATACGTAATTGCTGTAGACCTTAATTAGGGACTAGGAGAAGTCAAAGCAGAGGTATTCTCACCAGAGATTCTAGTTAAAATTCTAATCTAGAGACCTTTCCTTTATTTCTCTTTTATGTTTAATTTCAGTAGAGTCTTAGGTTTTATTGCAAGTTGATAACATGATGAAATTTAGAATACAAAGAGCGAGGGATAAAATGCCCTATCTCCTGTCACTTCTCAGGTATTTGAGAATTTCCAAATTAAGTTAATAGCTAAACATATACATATACATACATACACACTACAGGGTCTGGTACAAAAAACACACTTTTTAATTACAGAATCTTTTATTACAAAATCATAAGCATGTTAATTCTGTAAGAAAAAATATCACACTCAAGCATACCATGTGACACTTTAGATGAAATATTCAAATTAAAACTATAAATTATGACACCATATTATTACCTTACCAACCACATTCGAGCAGGAGTTACTTCTGCCAAACCCTGTATGTATTATGCGACTTCAAAGCTTTTGGTCTTTCAAATCATTGTTTTTCTTTACTGCTAACATCCATTGTACCTTCCTTCATTATATTCTTTAGGTTGAAATCTAGAGTGCAAGTATTGCAGATTAAATGGTAGGCTGATATAGCTGAATCTCTAAAGCCTCTACATGGAAGCTAAAAGGAAATAAATTAAACTTTAATTGCATTTTATTTGTTGGTTAAGGAAAAAATTACGATTCCTCTTTACATTTCAAATGATACTTTGGCCTAATGGGCTCTATTATTAAATTTTAAATAAACATAAAAGGCAAACTACCTTCAAGTAACCAAAAAGGAAAATCTAATTTGTGGTTAATCAATTTCCTAATTTCTCTTTTCCTCATTCTCTCACCTCTTTTCTGATTATCAACTATTCATTGACCCTTTCACCAAAGACTAACAGTAAAGAGAAATCAAATATAAGGCTTACCAGTTAATTAAAAAATCAATTACTGTGAAGTTTTGGTGAATAATTAGATAATTTAATTAATTTGTTAACAGACATTTTGTTTCCTTTATGTGCTCAAACATTGTTAAGTACCTACTTAGTTATAATTAACTATTTAAGTTTAGTGTTTGTTTCTAATTATATTGTCAATTGGAATTTGTATATGGTTTACACAGAGGCCACTCTTAGTTTAGGTAGCGCCAGTGAGGGAGAAGGGCTAATTTACATGACTTATAAAACAACCAGATTTGGAACAAGGTTTCTCAACCTGGGCACTATTGATAGTGGGGCTAGATAATTCTTTGTTTTGTGGAGCTGTGCTGTGCATCATGGGACTTTTATTTGGCAGCATCCCTGGCCTCTGTCCACTGGATTCCAGTAGCACACCCGTCCAAGAGGGGACAACCCACAATGTTTCCAGATATTGCCAAATGTCCTCTGAGAGGCAAAATCAACCTCAGTTGAGAACCACTGATAGAGACCAATGAGAGGTCTTATTTTTCTATTTTCTATTAGGAAATCTAGTAGATCTCTAGTGATATAGATTATTATTTTTTGATATACATTATTTAGAGGTAGTCCTTCAGTGTTAAATGTTGAAGAATCAACATTCTTATCTTTTTAAATCCCTGTATTTTCCACCACTTCTGTAGTTAGTGATGCTACTCTGATGCTCTTTATTCTACTTATTAATGTACCTTCTTTTCTGTGTAATGTAACTGTCATAATCAGAAATATGTATTCAATTATAGAAAATATAATTGTTAACAAGATGTTAAAAAAGCATATAACATACATAGAATGTTATTTCATTTTGATTTACTCATAAGTAGCATAATGTTTTATTCTTAGGAAGAAAGATTTAGAAAGTAATAAACTGTTATTGTGGCTGGAATATGTCATGCTTAGAAATTAATAAAATATATTTATGTTCTAAGGAAATTAAGATACCACTGGGGAAATATTTCTTTTAATATTTTCTAAACCAAAATTTTTTTCATAGATAATGATATAGCATCCACAGAAGTTCATTTCCATAGATGATCTATGGTCTCATATGCATTTTGCCCCAAAAGTGTTTTGCCAGAATAAAACCAGAAGTAAAATGTACAGAGAGGTCATGAGCAGAAGCACAGAAGAATGTGTTTCGTGGGTCCGTTTTTAGAAACAGCTTTCATTTTAAAAGGAATTGCTATTAATAAAAGGAAAATACCAAGGAAAGAGAAAATACCCTTTGAAGAAAAGTCTTGTGCAGCCCTTAGCTACACATTTAAAACTGGCATTTGCTACTTTCTTTTAAAAATAATTATTGATCTAGATGCTGAATTACTAAATGATGTGTGAATGACTCAAATCACAATGTTTGCACAAGCTTTATATTTTCCCATTTATTTTTGTACCTTTTCAATACTACAGAGGACTATTACCAAACAGCTCAAGGGATAGTTGCCTGATATATTAACAAATATTCATAACAAAAGAATAGAAGAGCATTTATCTTTGTTCATTGTCAAAGTTGTAATAGCAATTACATACTCACTGTAGTGGTTGATAGTTACCTTGCCTACCTCAATATACCAGAGGAATGTAATTTAATTTTTCAACAATAGCATCTGTTATTTCATTGCAAAAGTAAGAATTTGCCCTTGCTTTTGAAAGAGGGTAAGAGTCTGTTTCCTCTGTGGAAACTATTTTATCAGAACAAATTTTGAATCTTAACAAAGTATCTCCAGTCATTTCTTTAACCCAGTGGTTGGTTGAAATTCAAGGACTGTTTCCAAAGCCCTTAACTGCTGTGAAGGAGGCCTGAGGTGGAGCTCCGCTCTGCTCTAACTGGCATTATTGGTTGTGTGTCCTCGTAAAAGGCATTTAAGCTCCCTAAAGTCTGTTCCCCTGTCTTTAAGAACAAAACTATTAATAGTACCTATCTTATAAAATTGTACCAAGAATTCAATTAGATCGTAAATGCAAAGTTTTAGCATAAGTTTAGTGCGGGAGTAAGCGCTTAGTCAATATTGAATTATCATCATCATCATCATCAAAACCCTTTTTTGTTTGGATCGCCTCTAGGATTTAGTTGCCAGTGTATAGAGAGGAAGAAGAAGGAAGGAGAAA